CTAATGCTTGTTAACCACTCTTACACACCCTTGTATCGTTTAAGACCAATAGGATTAACTTCTTATCATCTCAAAGATAATCTCTTCTCGGATTTACGTCGACTAACTTACGGCGTGATCTAACGTACGCGAATATGGGTTGTAACATGTTCCCATAACCAATGGTCTAGCAATTAATTGGAGGCGATTGATAAATGATTCTGTCAGGCCATTTTGAGTATGAACATGAGTAGCGGGATGTTCAAATGTTATCCCAGCTGACATACAATAATCATTAAAGGCTTGGGATATAAATTCATCAGCATTATCAAGACGAATTGTCTTAAATGCATAATCTGAAAATTGTGCTCTTAATCTTAATATTTAAGCCAACAACCTCGCAAATGCCAGGTTGCGAGTCGATAATAAGCACACATGTGACCATCTTATATATGCATCTATTAAATCCATATAATATTTAAATGGTCCATATGCTGGATGAATGAGCCCACATATATCATCCTGTATACCTTCCAGAAATATTGGGGATTCAATCCCAACTTTAGTTACTGATGGACTAGTAATAAATTTACCTTGAGAACATGCAACACAAGAGAATTCCTTAAACTGAAGAATCTTCTGATTCTTCAATACACGTCCATGTAAATTCTCAATTATTTTGCTCATCATATTAGAATCGGTATGGCCCAACTGGTCATGCCAAATAATAAAATCATTTGGATTAGTAAGCTTCTAGTTTACTATGGCATGTATTTCAATCCTGCTAATATTTGTGTAGTACAAGCCGGAGAAAAGAGCGAGTAACTTTTCAAGCACATATTTCTTACTCGACTTTATTATAGTAATATAATGATATTCAATCTTATCATCATTTGTAGCCTCAACGTGATATCCATTTTGGCGAATATCTTTGAAACTTAGTAACTTTGAGACATACTACAATATAATTCTTCATTAATAGTCAAATTTGTTCCTCCGGGTAGTAATAAATTTGCTCTTTCAAAGGCTTCAATTAATCTTGTTGTAATGACCCGATAGGTCATCTTATGTTTTGAAACCTAATACTATGATCTGAAGCCTTAAAATCTCATCTTTACCCTCTTCGAGTTGCGTGCACGGTCTGGGCGTATTTCCGGAAAGCTTTTATGTTAAAAACTGTGAAAAATATGAAATTTTACTTTGAAAACCATTAGAGTTGACTTTGGTCAACGTTTTGAGTAAACGGACCCGGATATATATTTTGACGGTCTCGGTAGGTCTGTATCGTAATTTGGGACCTGGACGTATGCCCGAAATCGAATACCGAGGTCCCTAGCTCGAGATATGGAATTTTGATGAAAAATTAAAAGTTTGAAAGTTTAATGATTTTAAGAATTGAATGTTATTTGGTTTTGTTGATACCGAATCCGTATTTTGGTTTCAGAGCTCGGTACAGGTCCACTATAATATTTATGACTTGTCTACCGAATTTGGTGAGAAACGGAGTTGATTTGACGTGATTCGGACGTTCGGTTGTGAAAATAGAAGTTTTAAAGTTTTCTTGAAAATTTCATCTGATTTGGTGTCTGATTCGTAGTTCTAAGTATTATTTTGACGATTTGATCGAGTGAGCAAGTTCGTATGATGTTTTAGGACTTGTGTGCATATTTGGTTTGGAGCCCCGAGGGCTCGGGTGAGTTTCGAATAGGCTGCGGGATGATTTGAACTTAGAAAATCTGGTTTTTTGTGCTTCAACTGATATCTAGTGTGTTCTTCTTCGCGTTCGCGAAGGTACTCTTGAGAGCGCAAAGAGTAAACTGGGGCAGGGTGATTTTCTTAATCGCGAACGCGGTAGCTGGGTCGCGAACGCGAAGCAATGGGGGCCTTACCCTTCGCGAACGCGAAGCTTTAGGGACCTGGGGGAGGGGTCAGTCATTCTTCTACGCGAACGTGAGCATGGGCTCGTGAACGCGAAGGCCATGGGGAGCAGCCTTCGCGAATGCAAAGGAGGACTCGCGAATGCGAAATCCACTTAGGCTGCTGCTCATCACGAATGCGGCAGGCCCTTCGCGAACGCGAAGAAGGCCTGATGCTTGTGATTTAAAACAGAACAGTAGCGGGATTTTTCCCAAAATTTCATAACCCTTCCATTAGAACTCGGCCTAGGAGCGATTTTGAAGGGAAAACTCAACATCAATTCATAGGTTTGTACTCTTTAACTCATTTTCTTCCATTTCTAATATCACCTATTAAATTTCTAGCCCTAATCTTTGTTCTTTCATGGTAGAAAACTAAGGATTTAGGAAGATTGGGGAGGGGGGGGGGGGTGGCAAATT